AATTCTTTAGCATCTGAATCTTTCACGCCTTCCTCCTGAGCCCCTTCCTGATATCGATTTGGTAGATCTTTAGTGAGATCTACCACCTGAATCATCAAATGCCTTAAGGGAAGCCCTTCTGTTGAACTCACTCTCTTAATCACGAAATCAAAGACAACTTCTACTACCGTTTCCTCCACGTTGTCACTGATACAGTCGGTGTTCTCATAGTGTGAGAGAGTCTTTATTGATTACCTCATGTTGCACCTTGTGTTGAGTATCACTTAGCCTTGGTACTTTCCCCCCATATTATCCATAATACCATTACCCTCTCTGCTTCCCATAAGAAGGGACCCATGAGACCCATGGGACTCGTGAGACTCATGAGACTCAGGATCCCACTCTATCATGCCTTGACTGTGCTTACTTGATCCAATAACCTATTGTCCCATGGGAAAATGCCAAAAAAAATTATCCCCCGGTAATTCAGAGATAACAATTTTGAAGCAATGATAATCTTCCTTCTCGCCTGGGTTCTGAATAGAGAGGGTCTGTTCGAGGGGGGAGAGGGGGGAGGGGGGGGGGACTTCATCATCGAAATCTGCTGGTTGTGTGCATTGTTGTTCCTTTTGGTGAACAGGCGCAGTGAACTGGGATCGTTCTTTAGTGATATCTACGGCCTGATAAGACTGTCCCTGCTCTGATCCCACTAACTGGGATACTAACTGGGTAGATAAACGAACTACTTCACGTGGAGATCCCTTCATACTCTTTGATTTACTTTTCACGGGAACAGTTGTAGGGAGCCTCACGGTAATCCCTGCTCGATGTTGTTTTGTATCCCCATCTTCATCCTGCTGCAAAAACAGGGGCAGAAAGCGATTTTGTAGGATAGGCAGGTTTTTTGTTCCCCCCTGGAGTGTGAGATTCAATCTGGTGGACACGATAGAGAGCGATTTGGTACTAATATCGTCCCAAGAAACACCCAGCGAAGGACTTTGTGACAGAAACATTCCCAAACTTTTATCGCTACCAAGCAACAAGATCAAATCTTCAAATATTTGAGGCCAAGAGATGTCAGTCAATGTGGGGTGCTGATTTTTTAGATTACATAGCAACCAATCTGGTATTTGGAGGACAATAGGCTTCATATCCAGAGTGACGGTTGTGCCAGGGCTTTCGACAGTCAGAACCATCGGTGGGGGAGCACAAGGTTGAATAAACTCAACTTTCATTGGATCAAGACGAAAAACATCCCTGAAAGGGTCTACTTCCATTGGGACCCCCTCAGAATTTGAGTCCAATTTTCCTAAATCTTCCACATGCCCTCCTTCTCTCCCCATTTCACCCCTTTTTTCAGTCCCCCTTATCAGGCCATCATTCTGGTATGAATTCTCAAATTAGTTGCCTGAGAAGGAAGTGTCTTTCTGTTTCAATGTGCCCCTTTTTTTCATCTCCAGCACCACTTTTTGATAGATAATCTGCCGCTTTTAGGCCCAAGAACCTCTCCACGTTGTTGGATGATGGGGTAGCCAAACCTTTGTGTCTCTGGTGTTTCCGGTTCCCAACCTCTGTCCCTGTCCATGTCAGTGCTGCCTCACATCCCCAGTAACTTTGTCTTGTACTCTCCTGCGTTTCTCCTTTCTTTGTATGACCTACGCGAAATTTTTATGCAGACACCTGACCCTGCTTGTTTTTGTTGTTGTGAGATGTCTTCCCAGCTTGAGGTAAGGGTTGAGGTTGACCCTGCATTTGGGGGGGGGGGTGATTGAGGGGGGAGCCAATCTGCCGGAGGGCGGGGCGATTTGTGAAAATCACTCCTCCCTTCACAACCCCAGCCAACTGGTTCTCCCACCTGATTCAGGTCTTCACGATAGACCCATCCCTCACATCCTGAAACCACTGGAAGTCATCTGTTGGGCCTTTGCGGGGCCCGTTTGAGACGCAAATTTGGGGGTATCGCATGTTGGGAATATTGGGGACATGCATAGTCAGTATGAAGGTGACCATAAGCCTTACACTTAAAACACCAAGGTCGGAATTTGTGTGTTGTATGAATCAGATAAACCCGACCTCCCATTTTAAATGGGATAATATCATCCAGTCAAAAAAGTTGTTCTTTAGGGAGATCTAGATCCCTCGTAGCCACGTAAAATGACAGCGGGTTGATGAAGTCCACAATTTTGAACTGCTGTCCAAAATCATAAATAAATGTTGTCTGAACTTCAATGGAGATATGTCTAAATTCGACCCAATAAAATTCCTTCATCAACTGATCCCTCTTTTCTTCTGGGCCTACTTTCTTGGGAAGCCATGGATAAATTTTGACCTCAGACTGGTCCCATAACGTTTTCTTCCATGCATCCATTCAGACCTTATCCTTGTCAAAAAGGCTCGTCACAGTGAAAACCGTAGGAGTAATTGGTTGGATTATGAATAACTTTTTCACTTTTTCAAGCCCATGTCTCAACAATTCCAGTTTCTTACAAATAAATTTAATCTTATCGTTGATCGACCTGTATGCCACATTATCGTAGAAGATTCAATTACTAGCATGTTTGGTGTAGACAGAATCACGCTGTTCCATCTTATCAGGTGGATACGACTTCATCAGAGTCTTCCTACCCCCTTGCTCAATCACCAGTTGTTCAGATGGAAGGAAGAAAAGCGAGAGAAAGTAGACCCTAGTTGAAGACAAGTTCCTGAGAGGAATCTTCAATTCCTCTGGGGGGGGACCTGAGGGATCAATCGAAGAACGCTGAATATCCAAGATTTTATTCTGCAAGGATTCCTTCACTTTTTGTGCCCATGAAGGCTGTTTGAGGCCCTGAGCTGATGTATTCCCCATTTTAGCAGTATTCTGTGCAGTTTGTGGGGACTGGCTGCATAACATTTTGTTCGCGTTCAGTCGCCGAACGTGAACGGGTCCCAAAACCCACCGAACACGAATGTAATTTTATTTTTTATTTCCTTAACACTCTTAAAGCGTGTAAAGGGTCTCGCGTGACTCTCCCACGGAGACGGTAGACCCGCTTGCCAGTGTTGGGAAAGGCGGTGGGGCAAGGGGCGGGCCCACGGGACACCTGTGTCCTTTTTTTTATCTTTCTTTGTCGTTTTGTGGGCTCGCTCGCGTCGTTTCGTTTTGGACTTAGGGCCTCGCTGCACTACTCACGAGACTGAATCTACCGCTGGAGTACGGAGAAATACGTTGCTTATCGTTTTTTGTCGTTTTGTGGGCCCGCTCGCGTTGTTTCGTTTTGGACTTAGGGCCTCGCTGCACTGCTCACGAAACTGAATCTACCGCTAGAGTACGGAGAAATACCTTGCTTATTTTTTTTGTCGTTTTGTGGGCCAGCTCGCGTCGTTTCATTTTGGACTTAGGGCCTCGCTGCACTACTCACGAGACTGAATCTATCGCTAGAGTGCGGAGAAATACACTGCCATCTTTTGTCTTTTGTGCACGTAGATCCACGGCCCGCGCGGTTGTTTTTCTGCGTCGTGAAAGGGTGGTGGGGACGAACGGGATGAGTCGGAGGGGGTGCGGGAGGTGGGGACCAGGGCAGTGGACGGGGGGAGGGGCAACGCGAGGAGCAAAAGAGGGACCAGCAGGGGCAGGAACGGGATGAGAGAGAGAGAGAGAG